CGCCTGTCTTCGTGTGGTCGTGGTATTACACCGGGCGAGCGGGCCATTCGTGCTCCAGCAAATGCTGGATGCGGGCTCTACCACTGTTAAAATAATCTTCGAAGATTCTCAACATTTTGTCAAAACATAACTTTATGTTAGAGCTGAAGTATTTGAAATTAAAATATTAGGCGACTAAAAAACAAACTAAGAAATTAGTAGAATATATTGTATTTTTATACCACTGTACTAAAATTTATTTTTTCTATTATTGTATAATCTTGAATTTCAATTTTATAATGCGTCTGTGCTCTGTTGGCAACAGCCCTTTCTGAATGCATTTTAAGTATGCGATTATCTGCATTGATTTTCATTTAATCTATAACAATGTATCAAAAATTTAAACATCAGGATCATATTATGTAAATGTCATATTATGTACGGTTTACATCACATAAATATCTAAATGAAAGCAATTATCCCCGTTACGTTGAATTACGTTGGCTGTGATGTGGGGAGCAGGCAGCAGGGAGTAGGGAAGTACAACAAGGCCACATTAATCGGCCGGTTCCTTTATTAGCTGCCAGTGCGTAGGTAAATAACAAAACTGCTTATTCAGGGACGAGCCCTTCCTCCCTTTAACCAATCTAATCCACGACTAGGGTTGTCTCTATTTAGATTTAATTATTATTTACATTATTTATAAACCACTGGCAAAAGTCAATCTGAAACCGCATTACATATTGTCAAATATAAGAGTGGTTGAAAGAATTCGGTAAAAATACTACAAGTTAAAGTAAACTAGTACAATTAAAAAATAAAAAAAAATAGTAGACAAGATAAAATTATGATGAATTTATTTACTATTGTCGTTAAGGAGTTTGGGAAGTAGACTTTTATTTTTTGTTTTGTTCTACATTTAAGAAAGTGTAGATACATATTGTTGCTATTGTAAGATGGCAGCCCTGTGTGGACAAAGCGTGCAGATCACGTGATAAATCTTGATTAATTACTATCTTCATTACATGTTGCCGTGAACTTGCAGTATCGCGGTTATTCTCGCCCCATTCACTTAATTGAATTTGTTGTATTAAATAAAATAGAGATCTCATTAAAAACGGAATTCTTATGCATAGTAGTTAGTTAATTGTTAAAATGTACTTATCAACCCGACATCCTCCGTGATTCCCAAAGCTACATAGCCTAAATAACAATTAAAAAAATCATTAAACACAAAAAAACCTACCAAAGTAACACAATTTGTAGTAAGATTTGGCAATATAGTGGTCAAGCACGAATTTATTTTTGTATCTACAAATAACATACAAAAGTTGTATATATAACTTGTATGTTTTCAGTATATGCGTGACAGTGGTTGTACTGAACGTGCACTTCCGGTCGCCGCAGACGCACCGCATGGCGCCATGGGTGAAGCGCGTCTTCATACACATCCTGCCTCGATTGCTCTTCATGAAACGACCACAGTACAAATTCGACACGAACAGGTAACTGGTATACACAAAAACAAATAGAAATATACAGACTTAAAAGCGAAATAACTTGATCCACTCAGAAGGTCATTTAATAGTCATTGAGTCCCTTATTGTACATTTAAACTATGAATTATCCACACTGACTACCCAACCATTAAATTACTGGATATAACTAAATGTGTATTAATTAGTGTATGCAAATTAAACCGTTTAATTGTATTTTATCACCAAATATGACCATACTTTGTCTTTAAAGGCATAACAATTGGTTATTGTTCCACATATCCTTAAAAATAAAATTAATGTGAAACATCCGACAGTCATTGGGTTAATTATATTTATTAAATAAAGCAATCGGGATTCATTTAAACGTTAAGATAAACATGCGATCCTCCCTCTCACAAGCACACAGACCCTCTCGCTCTCGCCCGCACCCCTGACACCTCGCGATGACAAATGTAAATTAATTATAACTTCTGGGTGACTTTCAGAGGCAAAGTTGTGGACTAGCCTAACACCGCCGCCACCCCGATAACTTTAATATTAATAAGCTCTAAGTTGTAAGCAGCGACGAGCTATGTTAATATTGTTCAACGGTCTTTAGCTCAGCTTTCAGTATTGTATATAAATGAAGTTGGCTGTACTAGATTTTAGGCAAATCATTTGATATTCGTCTAAAATTAAGGAAGGGTCTAATATTATTGAGTAAAAATTACTATAATAATTATTGCCGAAACTACCAAAGTAACTATAGGTAGTTAACGACTTTGTTGTAGGAATATTAATCATTAACGGTCCGGAAGCTCAGTATCTAATATCTTCTTGTTGACTTAACTATAGAAAATGCCAAAGCTTATTATTTCCTTATCTGCCAGCTGTTACTGTTAACAAGGAAAAAGATTTTAACAAAAGTAAATAAGGTTACACGTACGATAAAAGTGTATGTTAGATTAAAGTTTCGTTGCCGACGTCTGATGCCCTAATAAAATAAAGTAGCTCGTGAAAGTTATAGGCAGCGCCTAGCGCACGCTCTGTAAACGAATTTTTTCTCTATTTTCTATTTGACCTTGTGAATTTCAGCGATCACGATTCCAATGTTAAGTAAATATTGATACACTATTTACAGTATTATATTAAACAAATTACATTGATTAGTTTTAACATTTAATGGAGTTTAATTATGTATTTTATGCTCTGCTGGTATAATGGAAAAAAGATAATTTGTAATTGTTTAGATAGAAAAAAATTGTCTTGTAGTTTTTATCGCAGAACATCTAAATATTGTCTTGGGATTGTTATTATAATGTAGATTAGTTAATAAATAGTTATTCACTGGTTTGTAAAACTATGTATTTAATGTACTATGTAATAAAAAGTTAACTCTACACATTGGCTGTTCACATAACAGAATTATAATTACGAAGTTCGGCGATAGCATAGTGAACCCGTAGTTATTAGCAAGCGGCCCTTCTGTCGGCGTACTCGGTACACAAGTTCCTAACAACTTAATATCGGGTGTAATAACTAGTTTACTAGCGACTTGCGACGCGCCGGGATTCCAACGCGTCCAACTTCAAAATCACTCAACTTATTCTCAAGCATTCCAGAACTCTAATATTACTCATTATTGAAATTATTTCTTACTTCTACTTACAACAGTTTGTTTAAATTATAAAATAGTAAACAACAAACAGGTATCCCGTTCGTTCTTTTAAAATATAGAGATAACGATACTCAGGTGTCTAGGTTAGTCTACTTTTTAAATTATATGTAGTTTAATCAATTTAATTCACGGGATCAACCGCCGTTATGAGTAGATGCTAATAGCGAATATCCAAGTACTATGATACTTACCGAGTCTGTTGAGATAGTGAACTAAGTAACTCTTTTAGTGTTTACAATTAACTAAATATATAATATAGTATTATATTATCTGTCCTCCCAACTCAACAATTCCCAATAACCCCTGAAATATTCAAAATCCAAATTGAAAGCGATATTTAATTCAAATTTATTCAATACATAAATATTTACGTAAACATAAATCAACAATGTGCCTTTCATTTCAATATTCATCAACTTAAGGAAAACAATGAAGTATTAATTTAATCGCTCCAAACGATTTGAAAACAATATCAAGGGGTTTCAATAACAAAATCATTCATGACTCAAACCACTCGATATAATGACAGAGGCAGTGGTCTATTAACAAACGTAGTAGAGGTACTATGACTTTTAAGAGACATGATCTGTCATAAGCGTATTCCCTCTATCAAATGATAACGAAATAAGCTCCAAACTTGCAAGTGTGCTCATTTTGTGTGTTTAAATTGAGTAACAGTTCATAAAGACGTTTCATGATGTAGACACGCGGGAGTCAGACCCTCGAAATGTAGCAAGTTTTATTTAGTAATATGACTCTTTGCCTAGTCCCTATTTCTTTAGTCAAAGTGGTGGTATAACGCGAGGCTGCGTTACGGAGCGGTTTCAGATCGTTACGTAAATGGACAGCCGGGATAGATGAGACCGCACACCACAATGTGGAGGCTGTATTCTCATAGATTATTACTCGAGTTTATCTTGATAGCCTATCACAACAACGGCTTTTTACTTCAATTAATTGTAGCGGTTGTAATAGCAGAAAATAACAACACATTTGACTAATGATTTTAAGTAACAAAAAGGCAGATGAAAGTTATTTAATAAAAAAAATAGTAACAAGTAAATAGAGGGGATAGAAAACTGTGCCAAAGATGAACTCTTTAACAAGCTATCGATTCGCATTAATAATTCATATCTCAACGAGTTTGATCAACCCTTCTTCTAAATTGTTATATTATTCCTAGTTCCTAATAAAATTATTGGCATCTCTGGCAAAATTGTTTGAAAACAAATTCTATCACTAAAGAGTGTTGTTAGTACGACGGAATATATAACTTAATTTTGTACTACCATTACGGACTTAGTTTAATCTTACTTAAAAATCCAATTTAGTTTTTTCGGACGTTATCAACACTTGCAGTTAGTTTCGGAAAGCTGATAATATAAAGTGATGAAGCTGTATACCCGAATATTTTAAGAGGATTACTCGGAAAATCGCTTTGTTTTCGCTGGACATGAGTACAGTCGCGCACAGTCTGAATGATACCGGATATCAATGTTTGGCTAATTATACTTTTTGGATCATTTCTACAGTTAAAATAATTTTAATTTTATTAACAAGCGATGCGATCACAATCTTTGGGTAGTCACGTAACTCGATTAACTATCGGAAAAGATGTTTTAACAAGCTGGTGTTATTTGTTTATGTTTCTAGAAATCTTATATATTTGAATGTTATGAGCAGGTCTCGGTACACGGCGTGCGGAGTGGTGGTGCGGTGCGGCGGCGCGGCGCGGCCGCTCTACCCATACCGGCTGGCAGCGGCGGACGACGATTGCTGCGCGCCCGGCGCCTGGCCGCCGCCCGTCGTGCCGGCGCGCCCGCTCACACGCACGCCCAGCAAGGAGGATCTTACGCACACCACTTACGTCAATTCTGGGTGCGTTCTGTTGAACTCTTATGAAGTGTTGCAAGAAATTGCCTACCATGACCTTTGAATCATTTGATTATTTATAAAATAATAGCAGCAATTGTTTTTTTATTCTGACAGAATGGGTGAAAGTAACCGTTTTGGAGGGAGCTGCGTGGTGCACGGGTCAGGCGAGGGGGGCGCGCTGGGCGTGGGAGGCCCAGGCTCCGAGGAGGAAGCGTTGAGCCCCGTGCCCGACCCGCCGCCCAGCTTCAGTCATTCCTCCTGCCCGCCGCATATGCACAAGACTTGCTTCTGCGTCCGCTTCATTGCGGAACACACCAGAATGTTAGAGGATTCTACAAAGGTATCGAGATGATCTTATACACGGTTACTAAAAAGAGGTGTTGAATTATTTATTGAAAGAGTTTTTCTTACACAATACATTTGTAAGATTTCATACAATTGTAAGAATATCAGATTTTATGTGATCTTTTTTAGGTGAAAGAAGATTGGAAGTACGTAGCGATGGTGCTCGACCGACTGTTCTTGTGGATCTTCACACTGGCGGTGCTGGTGGGCACGGCGGGCATCATCCTGCAGGCGCCCACGCTGTACGACGACCGCGTGCCCATCGACAAGCACTTCAATCAGATCGCTACGTCCACGCTGGTGCGCTGTCCGCCGCCGTCGTAGGCGCCGCGCCACGTGCAGCGCCCCCGAGTGACACTCTCGCTACAATTTGTTTGTAATTCGCGCCCAAATGATACAGAATGATGTTATTTTCAAGAGCTGGGACTTTTTAAGCATCGCTTTTTTTACATTGAAGGGTTTATATCATATTTGAAATTTAGCTAACGAAATGTTGTGAGAGAAGGTTTGAGTTGCTGCAAAATGCAATATAGCTTGTAAGATTATTTGAGTACTCGCCAAAAAACTTTTTATGGCAGTGCCGGTATTGTATAATTATTCAAAACAAAATGAGAACTTTTGGCGGCATATAAAAGTAAACGTATCATAATTGGAGATGATCTTAAAAAAATCATTCGAAATCCTAATTTTTGAACTAGGTGCGTCTGTGTTTGTTTTTTAAAATAATCTTTTTTCTATAAAATGTATGTAGACTTAAGATATGAAGGTTTATTGGAGAGAGTGCAAGCAAGTTGTAGGGCAGAGCCGGGGAGAGTGGAGGAGAGTGGGAGATAGTGGAGGAGAGTGGGGGAGAGTGGAGGAGAGTGGTGGAGAGTGGGGCGCACTGCACCGGAACACAACGCACACCCGTCCTGCCCGCACGTGTTCTATTCCACGACACGTACATTGTACTAGCGTAATCTCTTCTCATTATTCTTAAACTTTGCACCCAACATTTACCTTACGCACTCATCAACTATCCTTCTAATTCTTACATACTCTAACTATGTCATAATCTATTTCCTTGTCTCAATTTATCACGTCATTACAAAAAATATGATGACAATAAAAAACCGAAATAAATTATTTTTGCCATATAACCTGATGTGTCGATAACAACGATTTATTGTAACATTAATTTATAAAAGAAATACTAACCTAAAAATCAAATATTAAAAGTAATATTAAATTTATTATAAAATTTTCGATATTTAGAACATTTTTGTAGTGTTCGTAAATAAATAAAGTAAAATTAAAGCGTTTTATAACGCGGTATAAAATTAACCAAAACGTAATTGTGCAGTAATAAATTTAGATGTATGTAGTTTTGAATAGATATACGAGTAGTATAAAATTAATGAACGAAACACCACCAAATCGATGCTGTCTGTGTTCAACATGATCGGTTAATTATTAAAATAAAGTAGCGGTGTAGTGTCATTGTAAATCCTTTCTTATGATACACCTCGCTTCTTAAACTAATGAACTTTGTTTAATCTCTCATTTGGTTTAACGATTTAATATTAAATCTTTAGGTAGAAAACTAATATCGACTTAAAGTAACTAGTGTATCTACCACTATCTCACTCTATGAGATAAATCTCACTTTTAAAATCTCTTCTATACATAATCTCAATTGTCGTAGAATAGAACATGTACTTTACATTAAATATAACAATTTTCATATTTGTAAGAAATGTATACTTTTAAAACCAGTCATTAAAACGATCATGAACGTTTTTTTAATTTTGTAATTTTCACTATATAAATGTCATTTTTTTATCACATACAAACCCAACATACAAAATTCTCCTTATGATAATAAGTACAATATAACAATTTACTTTAAGTGATACTTGCTCAATTTTACAAGTATTTATGAATGCTGATCTGTCACTGGAGCTTTCCAATACGAACAGTGAACGTCAGTCTTGTCTGACTACACATTTTGGTTAATTGCGATTAGAATTGACGAATAAATCAGTGCCGGGTTTCCTTGTACTGTACGCCGTACAGGTCCTGATCGTGAGGCTAAACGAAATACTAATATTATAAATGTGAAAGTTTAGTTGGATGTTTGTTAGAGTTTGTAGCCTAAACAGCTGAACAGATTTCGATGAAATTTGGTATAGATGTAGGGGATAGTTAGGAAGAAGACATAGACTAATCATTTTTGTTTTATTTTATTCCACGCGAACAGAGTCGCGGGCGAAAGCTTGTAGATGATAAACAAACTTCAGCTGCATAAAACATACTTTTGTAAACTTTGTACAAATCGTCGGTCGATGAGAATTCATCTTATTTATATGACAAAACTACGTTTCTTGTGATTAATTGCTGTCGAAATATAAGATAATTACGTACTTTAACGTTGTAAAGTTAACTGATTGTTTATTTCTTGTTGGTCTTATTGATATATGAAGTACGGTATCTGGAAATCCGACACTGCAATTAAACATCATGTTTTATACGTAAGCTCATTATTGTAAATATCAATAATTTTAGATACGCTTTATACTAAATGAATCAGTGGTTAACATTGGACTGGAATTGAAGACAAAACGAAATACGTTAATGGCGTATTACTTTATTATGTAATTTAAAATATACTTCGAAACTAGACAAATTGTGTGCACAGATAAACGAAGTTTTGATAGATGAATTGGAAAGTTTTGTGTTGAAATGTGTAAAAATAGATTACTATAGATACGCACTCAAATAGTGCAGTCATTTGATATAGAATTATTATGAAAAATTGTCAGTATGAGAGGACTAGGAAATGTACTGGTGCATAGTTTAGGGTCCCTATTGAAGAGCAATCGGAAGGAATGTGTAGGTATTTAAAGTAATTAAGGATTAAGCACATTTGACTGTTTGCAGTAGAGTAGCGCAGCTCAATTGTAGTAAAATAAATTTGTAATTTATCTATTTATATTGTTAATAAAAATGTTATAATATAGAAAGTGACTTTTCTTTGAATCCTCAACGAGATTATTACAAAAAATATTAAAAACTGAAGTTTAAAGAAACATAATTAGAGCTCCAAGATAAAAAAGATAAATAATGTAAGTGTTGCCTTAACTGAAGTTAACCTCAACAAGTAATATTATATTTAATTGATCATGCATCGTGTTACAAAAACGTTAATTTATTTATGTGATTTTATTTATATTTAATGTTTCTATTTCACAAAATAGTTTTTAATGGTTTAAATCATTAATTAAATATTTGTATAATTTGATTTTAATTGATTACATTGATAAACTCAACTTACGATGAAAAGAAATCACGCACTAGTGTCGTGACTAATTTATAAAAAAAAAACCAAACGTTTATGGATTATCAAAGATACTGCTACCAGCTTGAGCAGCTTGTGGAAAAAAGTTGTTCAAAATAGAATTAGTTCTTTGGCTATCTTCTAGTATTTTAGTAGCATCGTCTATTGCGTCTTTGTTTGATTCACTATGACCAAATAATGAATCATAGTCCATAGGTTCATCATTATTTTCTATAGTATGATGAGACAAGTCTATACCAGACAAGGGGGAATTTTCACCATCTATTCCTTGATTCCTTTGCTGATTATTGTCTTTAACATGAGTTCCTAACGCTTTATTAAATATGTCTTTTAATGTTCCCGTTGATAAATGTGTAGCATTGTGCATATTATTCGTAAATTTATTTTCTGCTATCTTCATTGTATTCTGCATATTAACTTTGTCTTGATTTGAATCATGTAAAGTTAATATTTTATTAACATTGGAATTATTATTTGCATTTAAAATCTTCGAAGCACCGTCTAATATTCGTTTCGCTTCATTCACTTCGGAATCACTTTTACTATTATGCTTCATGTTATGTAAAATATTGATATATTTCAGTATAGCATCAGCTGCTGACTTCTCTTCAGATTCTATCTCTTTAAATTGTATTCGCATACTTGCGGACATTTTATCGAATTCATCTTTAAGAAATTTTTTCATATATGCCAAGCGATCTTCATCATTTGTGAATTTATATTTCAAATTTTCATTTTCGTAATTAAATGGTTTAGAATATATATTGTAATCATTTTTGATTCCATTAAATTCTGCATCTGGTATGTTCAATGACATTCCTTTTGTATTACCGTTATCTTGATTTTTTATAACTCCCCTACATTTAGGATTAGATATAGTAGATCCGAGTGCTAATGCACTTTCAACTGCTTCAACGGTACAATCAATTGTATCTCTTACATCGGTGACAACATCAGTTATCATCTTTTGAAAACTATGTTCTAACGACGACATCACATCACGAAACTCACCGTAAATAGATGCTGAATGAACCTGTAATTTAAAGTATTTATTATAACTATTTGTTTTTTTTTATTTACAAACGTATTTATATTATTATTAAAATATTTACTTACATGTACGTTTATCACCAAAAGTATAATTAAGAATTTCATATTAATTTCTTTGTCAAGAGAAAACAAAAACCGACACTACATTATTTCACCCGAAAGTATAAAGACTGTCGGATAATTTACCAACTACGCCTTTATTGAATTTAGCTATATGTTTTACGCGTGTTTACTGATATCCACGCGTTACTCGACGGCTAACATCTGTATAAATATTTGGAATATAATTGCCAACTAATTACGCATGAAAAAGATTTTACATTGCTTTTTGAACAGTAATACAATCTAGGTATGTTATACAAATTGAGGCCCCGAATATTAGAAATGAAAGACGATAAATAATATGAAATACTTAAAAAGTCAATGTCTTAGTGTAACTAGCTGTTCCCGTGCAACTTCATCCGCATGGAATTATGAAAATTTTATTTTATTATTTACATCTGTCAAATTATCAATTATAAATGTCAAAATGACATGACATGATGACAAACTTGCTTCCTTGATGTTGGCAACTTATGGTCTCTTTCCCACATTAGGTTTTTTATCCAAAATATTTACTCCCTAAGTTTAATGGCGTTAAAATATATAGACTAAAGCGTGACTCAAATGGGCTTTTTATTGAAAAAAGAATTATTTAAAATGTTGTAATTGCCGACATCTTAGGCAAGAAAGAAGTGTGTGTTTATTATAATAAGTATAGATTTACACAAGATATCCGCACTAAGGGTCTGATTCAGTGGCCGTTTAACAATACTAAGAGTTAAAGTTAGATTTCTTTTTCTATTACCTAATGTCAATACCTAATCTGCTATACTAATTTAATTATCACAACTTTTAAATTAATTAAAACGTAATTATTTATTGTTTTATTTTTTTTAGATTTGGTTATTAAAGAAAACATATTGTAAAGAACTTGTATTTAAATGTCTTATAATAAACAGAATATCACAAACTTTAGACTATCGGCTTGTCTTGGCTAATGTGTGTTTGATGATAGTTGCATATTTCATTTACAATCAGATAAAATTGAAAAACAATAAAAATATATGACTAATGATAAATCCTTAATCTAAATTATCCTTAGTCGAGAAATGTAACTTAATATTATTGTCATATATTATTTAGTTACATGCAGAATCGAAGTCGCAAACATTTCAGCTACCAAACACTTAAATCTTTACGCAGGGATCGTATACAAAAATAACAAACATTTAAACTAAACTGACTTGACTAAATGATCGCACAACGGTTGTGCGATTGTTTGATCCTTTACAGCAAATTGAACTGTTTAGTTGCACAACTGAAAATCGAGTTGTGTGCGCACCTTCATATAAGCTCATAGGAATCAAAGCGCGACTAAACAGTTGTCCGATAGTTTAGTCAAAGGTGTTGGCACGCTCTAAAGATATACGGAACTTTCGTACAAAACAAACAAAGCTATTAATAATCCAAAAAATATTGACTGTTATAAACCATCATTGTTACAAAATAATAAATTAATAAGTCAAAGAAATTAATTTTTATATGACATAAAATAGATTTAAATGTGACAAGTTACTTATTGTAACGCCCACAGCCGTTCAGCTGTCACTAAGGGCGCATATTAACATCTATTAAAGCACTATGCGTGCGCCTGAATTGAATTATTTCGTCATTAAATTTAATGCATTGTACAAATGTGTTTTATATACAAGTTGACAGTAAGTTTCGTAAATAAAAATTGTCATTTTATTGTGACAAAAACATAAAAGCCATTGTACATAATTCAATTTTGAAAATTCTGTATTTTGATATGAGATTTCGAACTTCCTAATTAATCCACGATTTTTTCGTACAATTTGGCACCTTGATGAGCAAATATTTAGTTTTTTACCCAATATTATTATAATATACAATTTGAACTTAAATACCAATTATTCTGTCAAAATACTCATTTTAAATTTTTATTTTTTATAAAAATACATTTAACTGCCTATTTCATATTGTATATTTATATCTAAATTGTAAACAAAATTTCCTGCCACAACTAATCTTATATTCTGTTTAAAATATAAAATATAATTTGTTAAAAACAGGCAACACTTAACAAAATTAAATCATAGTACATATTTTAATGTTTGAAATAAAAAAAAATTGTGGAATGTTGAAAATTATCCACAGACTAAATTAATCAAAATACAAGGATTATTAAAATTTAAAATTCATTCGTGTAAAATTTTAAATTATTTTTAGATAATTACATGTTAGAATTGCATTAAAATCATGTACAAAAAAGTCATAAAAATCGATGACAAAATGGTGGCAGTTTATTCAGTAAATTAATTAAAATGAATGATTTATATGATATGTAATAGTGAAAAATTGCTTAATTGAGTTTTTTTTACATACAACCTTAACAACCTTAGCTTAAAAATAACCTTAATAAGTTTAAAATATTTCAATAAATATGTGACATTCATACAAGTGATGTTGAGCATTGCACTTGTCTTTAATAAGTAAAATATTAAAAATTACATGACGCCATTTTAACGGCAATACAATTACTCTAACTAAATAGATTGCCTTAAACTCGTAAATAAGGGCGCTAATATATTACTATTTGATTTCATGAAAAAATTCTATAAAATTAGACAAGTTATTAATTAAAAATATAGAATTATATTAAAATGAAAGTGTAGAGATCACTCACTGAACAACACTTAATTCTAACAGAGCTATTTACAGCCTGTTTATACAACTCGTGTACAATAACATGATACTTGGGATTGATGACGTCACGTGTCTACAGGTTTACATAAGGAAAATTTAACAGGTCTTTTAGACCTGTACAGCAATTTTAGTGAATGAAACCAGCTCTAAGAAGTCTCATGTTTTTATGCACTCGTTGTACGAGATTTTATGTAAGCAAAATGTAAAATGAGTGAATTAATATTTTATCATAATAAAGTTATTTTTCTATTTTCCTAAAAACTTGAGAACATGGTTAAGCTGCCTTTTAGTATGAGCGAAAATTAAAGCCAAAATGTATTTTTAATCTTATTTATCAACTGCCTAAAAGTAAATTAAACTTATTTTGATATTAATTGCAATTTTTCGTTTACATAAAATCTCTAATAAAACAATTTTGATGCACAAATTCCAAAAGGCATATCAAAATATCTAATACTCTTTTCTAAATTGACAAAGTCATACTAATTTGCACAAATATTGCTTTAGAAATAACCTTAGAGATATCATCAGGGTGTTTGGTTCTCCTCATCATTAATACAGGATGCTCCTTCTTCCCTTTTGGGTGGGACTGGCACCTCTATACTGTCGATGGCGCGCGGCGGTGGTATGGGTGTCATGTTCAGTTTGGGCAAGGGTGGTATGGGCGGGGTGGGCAGTGCCACCGCGGAGGGGTGCTCGGGGTGCTCGGGGTGGGGGTAGCTCTGCACCCTGTGTACTGCGGGAAGGTCGTTGTTCATCCTCTGGTAGTGCGGTTTCCATGTGTTCGCCGGCGGGGTGTAGTTCAAGTGATCGTATTCCATTTCTGAAATAATTAAAATAGAACATTTAAGAAATCGCTATACTATAGACATTTCTAGACATTTCTAATTCTCAGCTTCGTAAAACTCCTTATATAGGCTTTGTAGTTTTATTGTTAGGTATAAGATTTTTTTTAAACACAATACCTCGACCGTAGATGACTGTACTGTTGGAATAAAATTAAAATATTCTAGCATTGTTGTATTATCTTATTAAAGCTAGCTTATTATTATGATTAATACAGAAAATAGTGTTATTTACCATATCCCTCCTTGTGTTTGATTTCATCGTACACGTGGTCCAGCTTGTCGTCATCTATGCAGTGGTACAAGTTGGGGTTGGTCGCGTCCGCGTCCTTATTCTTTAGCGACGACAGCGGGTCATAAGCTGTAAGAATTTATAATATTAGGTGATAAGCAAGCGGCCATCAAAATACTCCGATTCGTCTAAGTACAATATACGTATATATGTAAAAATATGAACAAATAAAAAAAAATAGCGGAAAGACCGCAGTTCATAGACATTTCTTATCATTTAAAATCACTTATGCGTTGACTATCTTTAATTGACAAAGAAAGACACGCAAAGTGGATATATCGCCTTTCTAAGTGTCCTCTTATCCATCAAATTCACTTCGCCTTCCCAGGCAAAGATAATTTGACAGATATGGCCCTTTGGGACAAGGGGCCCAAAATTAACCCTTCAGTTGTCTGTGCCAGTAGTCAAAGTGTACGAGCAATTACTTCTCCTTGAGATTATGTGGTCGTGGTATAAAAACTATAGTTATAATTACTGGCATGTACCACTGTTAAAATGTGTGATGATTTTCACTACATCAATAATAAAGTAGGCAATAAAAAAATTGTGATCTCTCTCATTTTCCTTGAAAAGAAAGAGAAGGATATTTCGTAATCGGAATGAAATTTTTAACAATACTGACTGTCACTGGAGCTGGAGGCGGTCATCCTCAACTTCTCGAGGGTGGCGTTATTGAGTTTGGCCGCGTTCAAGTTGTTGAATATCTTGTTGGAGTTGTTCAACAATGTGGACGCGCTCTCGTCGCTGCGTGTTGAACCTTGGAACGAGTACACCGGGTTGTCGAAGTGTTGCTCTGAAATAAGTCCATTCGGTAATTATTATTTGGCAAAATAAATGTTTTATATGTCAAATAGTTCCTAGTATTACTTCAAATGCGTGACACGTTTTTCCTTTGCTTATTAAAACCTTTCACTGTTCCCACTGATCTGAATAAATAGATAGGCGATTTTGAAAATGACAGCTTTTGCTTCATTACGACTTTAACGCGCCTTTGTTGCTAATAACAGTTAACCCTAAAATGCATGACAATGCATATATACACCAGTCTTTACATCTTTACCCAATAGACTATTTTAAAGGCATTTTTTCCTTTAATCCATGCTTAATTTACTACCCGTTTCAATTTATGGTTTTCAAAAGAAAAAATCATGTATTTAAGGGCTAAGTTTTTCGTTGTTATTACTAAATTGTTAGTGCTAAATTAAGGAAAATAAAATAGACACAAATTACTGTAGTTACTTGTCCATTTATAGAGATCATTGACTTCTCCACTTACTAATGTGAATTTTGTTTTTTCATTTATTTTAATCAATTTTAGTTAAACTCTCACCTGGCGGCTGATTGGGGTCGGCAGTGTAGTGCACGTGCGCGATCTCTCGTTTGAGGTTGCGCACGCGCTTGCGGTAGTAGAGCAGCACGAGGATGGCGGCGGCCGCGCAGAGCAGCACCATTATCACCATCACCGTTGTCAAGCCGGCGTTTGATGATCCTACTGGATACACATTTACTTAGCCTGTACTCAATCAAGGGCGAATAACCAAGCTTTTGGTTCGTTCTTAAAAACTTTCGCAATGGAAGGATTATAAGAAACTTTAGCTTTTTATATGAAAGAAATCGGGACACAAATATTTATTAAGCTTATTTAATTCTTCCCGATTGTTCAAATTAATTTAATTGCATGACACATTTCTTCCTATTTTTTACCCTTTACATTTAATTTGTGCAAAGTACACTTGTTTCTTGCCAGTAAAAGTTTAAAAAAAAAGGATTTCACCATATTGGGATGATTGGGAGTTGAACCGGACCAACGGGAAGTCCTCCAGTAACATTACGTACTTACACCATAAAAATCATACTAATATAAATGCGAAAGTTTAAATGGATGGATGTATGGATGTTTGTTGAGTTTGTAGACTAAACTGCTTAACGGATTTCGATGAAAAGTAGATTGTCTGGAAGAAGACATAAGCTACATACATTTTTTTTTAAATTAAAGCGCTATTATCCCAATGGTTTGGAGTACGAATTACCGATCTTGCGGTCAAAGGTTCCAATCCCGCCATTTGACTATTTTCGTGAACCATATCTTAGCACAAGCCTAGAGCTTAGTTGGAATGGTTAAAGGAAATATTAGTAAATTAACAAAAATCTATTAATATTTTATCTAAAACAAAAGTTAATTCCACGCGGACGGAGTCGCGGGCGGAAGTTAGTAATATATCGAAATGAGTGTAGTGAGTGTAGTGATTGTAGTGAGTGAGATACCTGCGGCGTGGTCGATGTGTATGGCGTCAGCGGCGTGCGTGTCGCAGTGCTCGCCCACGTAGCCGCGCCGGCACACGCAGCCGCGCACCGGCTCGCACTGCCAGCTGCCGCGCGCCGGGCACGCGCACGCCTCCATGCAGTGGTCGCCGAAGTACCCCTCCGGACAGACTGCAAACACACCTCATGCATACATATACTAATCTGTACTTAATATTACAATCACAGCATATTTCATTAATCTTTTTATTAAAATTATAAATGCGAAAGTTTAGATGGATAGATGTATGTAGCCTGAATGACTGTACGAATCTCGATGAAAATTTGGCGAAGACGTAGAGAATAGTCTGGAAGAACACATGGCTACTACTACTACTGTTTTTTCCACGCGAACGGAGTCGCGGGAAACCTAGTTTTTTTTATTTTTTTTCTTTAAAAACCTTATACTTAACGACACGCTTTAAGCTATATGTTTTCACGCTATTAAACTTAGGGATAATTAAATTGAAAAATAAACCCTTATGTGGTTTACCATCTCACCCATTTTACCCCCCGTTACTCCTTTAGGGGCAATAAACTACAAGCTGCCAACATTAAGGAAGCAAGGTTATTATGGTAAGGGTGATTTTGACATTTTTAATTGGGAATTTCACATATGTAAACAATAAAATTAAGTAATAAATGAGGATAAAGGATGTAGGCCTCCCGCAAGATGGACCGATGGCCTGGTGAAGGTTGCGAGAGTGTTGGATGCGGGCGGCACAGGGCACAGACGTCGTGTCAATAATTGATGAAGGATGTAGTGTAGCATAGTGGTAGTGGTAGTTACACTGCGTGCAGTAGTTGCCGGTGTAGCCGGGCGGGCAGCGGCAGTAGCCGTCGTTGGGGCGGCAGGCGGCGCCGCGCGCGCAGCGGCACGGCTGCGAGCACGCCGCGCCCCACCAGCCCGCCGGGCACGCCTCGCCGCAGCGCGCGCCGCGCCACCCCGGCAGGCACTGGCACTCGCCTGCACACACACATACATTTACCGTACATTTTAAAAAATAACATATACAATAAATTAACTTTTTTGCGTATTAAAGAAAAAATCTTGAAATCTAAACTTTACTATTTTTTCCAAGACTAAGATAGAAGAAATAAAATGCAATTGGACGTTAGTATTAAAATTGTATTGTTAGCATTTAAACAAAAATCATTACCTAAGATGTTGACTACATATTTTATGATTTTTGAGCACAGGTACAGTCAGCTACATAAATATACACACATTTTACACTAGTAAAACTTTCTAAACTTATATAGACCTAACATTTCATAGTATGTAATTGCAAATATTCATCGTTAGATACATATGGACGAACACATGATAATATAATAGAAATTGAAAACAAACACTAGTTTCTAAGCTTTGTAAATAAATCCATATTTATGCGGCTGACTGTTCAGTGATTTCCAAAATACACATAAAATGTTTAACTGAATCACTGTCATATTTAGTAAATTCATTAAAATAAAATAAAAACAAAAAATATTAAACATGGTAAGATACCGGTAACATGATGACAATCCGCGCCATTCTTGCAGTCGCACTTGTGAGCGCAGTGCAGGCCGTAGGTGCCGAGCGGGCAGGGGAACTCGCAGGCGAGGCCGGTGAAGCCGCTCGGGCACGAGTACTCGCCGCTCACGGGGTCGCATGTTGTGTTGCCTGCAACAAACACCTATTGTTACACACCTCCAAACACACAGAACAATAGCGCGATTGCAAAACATCACAGACGTCAATTGTTAACATTCTTGATTATGCTTGTGATTGTGTTCGGTTACTACATCTTTAGCAGTTGTCTCGTGTTAACTTAGATATTTTCTATTGCAGTGTTTTAAGTGTGTAATTAAAAAAGTGTTTTTAAATTCTGTCACTTTTTTATATTATAGCAAATGTTATCTTAATTTATTTTACGTGTATTTCGTACATATATTTGAACTAATAAATAATTCCAGTTCGTTGTTCTTTTCTTTTTAATCCAAAATTATTTGATAATGTCATCGAAAATCAATATTAATATGATTTGATTATTAGAACTCATTTACCTCGACGATTAACAACTTGGTAATGATTATTCGTCAACCAAACTTCCAAAGTATAGTTTACACTAACAAGCAAGGCTTCACATAATCCAATTGGCATCATAAGCCAGAGGTTTACAATTAAGTTAACTTTAGGGATCATACCATCAGGAGATTCAGGGCACATCTGCAGACAGCCGGCGCCGTAGTGGTTGGGCGGGCAGGGCTGGTCGCAGTGCGGGCCGCGCCAGCCCGCCGCGCACTGGCATCGCCCCGTGCCAGCGTCGCACGACGAGTTGTTGGCGCAAGGACAGCGCTCCGAGCACTGCTCGCCGTACCGCCCCGCGGGGCACTGCGTCTCGCACCGCACGCCTTCAAACATTTATTTTCCAACTTAGAAAAAGACAAAGATAATTAAAGTAAGAATGTGTACAATTATACTATACTTTACTTTACGAGAAACTTTCTTTTTCCTATATTCATAACAACACGGCACGTAAAATTGTATGATTGAACTAACCAAAGATTTGAACCTATTTTATTCAGTTCAAATCATTATGTAGGAAAATTGTAGGAATTTATTTATAATGTAAATCAATGCAGTTGTAACTCAAGAATATTTTACTAGCATCATACTTGTGGTGTGACAGAAATTTGGTTACCATTAATTAAAATCGATGTTGACAAGAATATGCCATTATAAAGATCGCCAATATAACTGACCCGTTAGGCTAAATATGATTGCTTACAAAACTAAATTATGATTGGTCACTAACACCGTTCTATTTAATTTTCTATGTCCAAATAGGTTTTGTATATTTTATGACAGAACCAAGCGATTGCAGAGCCTATATACTTCCATTTATGACAAACGGATCAGATAAATTTGGCAGTCTATAGATAAATTGTAAAAAGAAACTATAATATTAAACATCAAAAACATGCTTTTTATTTTAAACTGTATACAATTAATAAGGTAAATATCCAGAAGAGAAACTTTTCAGATAAATTTTCTTATCCGCAAACGCTATCTTCCATACCATGGCTCTTGATTTCAATAACGTTTTCTTATTGTCAACAATCATTAACACTGCTTTCGGGTGACTGTGTTCGTATTCCTTTAATGTTTGAATTACCGTTTTCAGTATTAACCGAGGATTAAACGAACTATCTCTTACTTCAAAAGTTAGACAACTATTGAAAGCGCCTTTATAAAATTCTTCATTGGATTGTAATTTCTTCCCATCATGTTTAGTTCCATTGTTTTTGCTATTCTTCAAAGATAAATACAACACTTGCATTGCATCTCCGACTTGTATCAAATTGTTAGTGATATCTTCATTTTTACGTGGCCTAGTAGAGTTGTCACAGACGGTGTCATAAAAAAGCTTTTTCCCCAAAACATCTAGCACAAAAATGGAATTATGTCATTTAGATATCTTACCCATTTTCCTAGCAAGACCTGAATAAATTAATGAAATGAAAATATGATGTAATTTTAATATGATACAAACAAATCTAAAACCAATGGAAACGTAACATAACTGTGGTTTTTTTATTTAGCTGGCTAATGATTACAGAAAAGTTAAGTTCACAAGCCTGTACTAAGTCACATCTAGTAATCAAAAAAACAATACATGGATTGATTTGAGTAGTACAGTCAGCTGCTAAAATATGTATACGTTTACAAATGTTCAGAAATTGCATTCGCTTTTGGTTGCAATATTATGTACTTCTATATCCATCCTTATAATTCCCAACACTAAAAGCTACTGAAGAATACGTCCATAGGTATTTTTGAAACCAAAGATGTATACAAGTTTTTAAAATTGTAAAATGCATACATATACACTGCGTCGTAAAACAAAGACGGATCTATATTTTTTCGATTTTATTTTTTTTGTAGAAATCGACTTAAAACATCTTACCATACGAAATGTATTAATTAATTTATCACTTCTTTACTAAAAACGCTGAAAACAACGATTCAGATACTTCGCCAGTATTTACCAATGAAGTCTAAATCCACAGCTTTAAACTGCTCGCCTATAAAATTGCCGATTTGTGTATCCGTCTTTGTTTTACGACAATGCTGATATATGGAGCTGAGTGTACAT